ATTTGGACATAACAATACAAAATACAATACACAAAGACAAACAAACACTTTATAAAGTTTTTGAAGAGGAGAAGCTACATGTTGTATAGAAGCCGGAGACAGAATCTGGCTTCTATACAACATGTAGCTTCTCCTCTTCAAAAATTTTAAAGTGTTTGTTTGTCTTTGTGTATTGTATTTTGTATTGTTATGTCCAAATTTACATTTATGACATTCTACTCATGTCGGATAGGCCACAACTGACGAAATTCTCCTGAAGATGATCTATTGATCGAAAGTACTTGGGCAAGATTAAATTAATCACCGTGTTCGATAGTTGCCTTGTATACCGTTAAAGTTTAATTATTCGAACATTCAACCTTATATTGAGAATGGTCTATGCTAGGAGTAACATTGCGAGACCGAATAAGAAACGAAGATCTGCGAAGAATAACGAGTATTATTGATGTTCTGGACCGCATAGCTGATCTAAAATGGAATTGGGCAGGCCATGTAGCGAGAATGCATGACTCACGATGGACGAACAAAATTACACTTGGAGGATAAGAGCAGACAAACGTAGTAGAAAAAAAAAACACCTACACGTTGGGCTGACAACATCAGGCCTATCACGAAAAATTGGCAATAAAGAGCACAAAATTGTAAAGAATTGAGGAGTTTAAGGGAGACGTCCAGCAGCGGACGTGATAAAAAAAGGCTGAATGAAGATGATGATGACAGCATCTTTAAACTACGCCTTCATAGTATCAATCCGGTTCCGAGGCTCTACATTATATACTTGATCAGTATTCGTTTCTACGATTGGTAGGTTGCTTACCTTGCCAATCACCCTCCACATTTTATCTGGGCTTGGGACCGGCTGTGGTAACCGCAGAGCTACTCAAGTCACCCCGCAATCACCCTAGGCAGTGTTCAAATACTAAGAGATAAAAAGTTGACAATGATGCATACCTTTAATTTTTTAGAAAATAAGTATGCTTTGAACTTAATGGCAACCTCAAGACGTAACTACGAATTTATTTATTATTTAAGAAACCGTTATGGGCCCAGCGTTATTCAATATTTATTATTAGTTGTCAAATTGCAGTGCGAGTCATTATTTGTCAAATTGCTATTAAAGTTTTTTATAAACCACCTAAGATAAAGCTAAAATGCCAAGTCATAGTGAATTGTTTAATGTAGAAATGCGCGATATGATATTTTTGTATGCTCAGAAAAATTTTTGTTCTCGTAAAGCAGCTCAACGCAATTTGGAACTTTATCCCAATAGAAGGCAACCAAACAATAAAACTATTAGATCGTTGTTCGATAGATTAGGCGAAACAGGGTCATTTCATCCCAAAAACAGAAATGGTGAAAGACCGAGAGTAATTGATGCGGATATGGAGGATGAAATTGTTGTGCGCGTTGCAGACGATCCAGAAACGAGTACATTGCTTGTTTCTGAGGTGACGGGTATAAGCCAATCTGCGGTGTCAAGAATAATACGGACAGAAAACCTGTATCCGTATCATTTTACTCCAGTACAGAATCTTTTACCACAGGATTTTCCAGCAAGGCACCGATTTAGTCAGTTTATGATAGGGCGGCATTTAGACGATCCAATGTTTTATAATAAAATTGTATTTACCGATGAAGCCTTATTTACTAGAAGAGGTGTGTTTAACTGGCGCAATAGCCATACCTATATGACAGAAAATCCTCATGCATTTCAAGAACATTATTTTCAACATGAGTTTTCCATAAATATCTGTGTGGCATATTTGGGGATTGTATTGTAGGACCATTCGAATTACCAACTAGCCTTGAAGGAGTAACGTATCTAAATTTTTTGAGAGAACATTTACCAACTCTTTTAGAAGACATACCTCTAAATTTGAGACGTAACTCTTGGTACATGCATGATGGTGCACCATCACATTATAACCTAGAAGTTAGAAATTATCTAGATGAAATTTAACCTCAAAGATGGATTGGTAGAGGTAGTGTATACTCATGGCCAGCACGCAGTCCCGACTAAATCCCCCAGACTTTCACTTGTGGGGCTACCTAAAGTCACTTATTTATATATAAAAAAAAAAATAAAAAATAAATAACCGTCAAAAGCTATGGCAAAATATTGTAGAGGGAGTTAACGTAATTAGAACCCAAAGAAACTAAAAAAAAGACAGAACTTACACAAATGATTTAGATTATGTAGTTTATCTAATGGTGAACATTTTGAACACTTTCGTTTCTTTTGAATTATTCACTCTGTCAATTGTTTTATATTCACGTCATTGTTTAATTTAATTTCTTATTTCTTTAAAATTTGTTACTGTGTTACTAAAAATTATCTACTACTAATACATTTAATATTCACTATTATTTAAGACCTTTTAAATAATGTTTTAATCTATATAAGTTTTTGTAAAATTTTTTCATTTCATTTTTTGATTTGTAAATATACCTTTTTTGTGTAGAACTGAATGATATATTATGTTTTTTTTCCTAGAATGTTTATACAGGGCGGACAAAAAACAAACTTATGGCTACATTAATGAACCAATGTTATAGTATGTGGTGCCACCTAGAGTCAATGGTAAAACTAATCATCATCATCATCATCAATATCATTATTGCCTTTTACAACTCTTCGTGAGTTTTTGCCGCGTTTACTATTGCCTTCTATTGATTCCGATCTTGTGCTATTATTTCCCATGGCCTTACTTCCATCTTCTCCAGGTCTTCCCTGACTGCGTCTTTCTACCTTTTTCTAGGCTTTCCTGTCGATCTTTTACCATCTGGTCTTTCCCAAAACACATTGCTAATCAGTCTGTCGTCATCACTCCGTACCACGTGGCCTGCCCATCTTAATCTATTGGCTTTTATGTATCTTACGATGTTTCCTTTCCCGAAGAGATTCTCTATTTCATTGTTGTATCTGCTCCTCCATTCATTTGTCACGCTGTCCCTGCAAGGACCATATATAATTCCCAGGATTTTGCGTTCCCATACTAATAGCTTATTGATTTCTTTCTTTCTCAATGTCCATGTTTCACTTCCATGTGTCACTGCTGGTCGTATTATGGTTTTGTACATTTGGATTTTGGCACGCCTTGAGAGAAGCTTTGACCTCATTAGATGTTGAATGGCAAAGAATGATTTATTCCGCGCTACTATTCGTATTTCAACCTCCCGTTCTCCTGTGTTTTCACTGGTAATTGTTGCTCCTAGGTATTTGAATTCTTTGACCACCTCAAAATTATGTTCGTTTATGGTAATGTTTTGTCTTATTCGCTGTCGTTTCTTTTTTGATACGACCATGTATTTCGTTTTTTCTTTGTTTATTTTCAGGCCTACGCTTAGTGTTGCTTCTTCAAAGTTTGATACTATATCCTTAACTTCCAGTGTTGTCTGTGCTACTGCATCTATATCATCTGCAAATACGAGAATAATCTTTGCTCCTCTGGCAGTTATGTCTGGTTTGACTCTGGTATAGATTTTTCGCATTGCGTATTCCAATGCTAGGTTAAATAGTAATGAGGACAGCGGGTCTCCCTGTCTGAGCCCGGTGCTTATGCCGAAAGCCTTTGAAGTTTTGCCTCCTATTCTAATTTGTGCAAAGGAATTGTTGACACACATTCGCGCAATCATGGTCAGCTTCTTTGGTACGACTAACTCCATCATTGCACTCCACAGTTTAAAGCGATCTATGGAATCATATGCTTGTTTGAAATCTATGAAGATCTGGTGTACTTCTTTATTATATTCCCAATACTTTTCTAGCATTTGTCTGATAGTAAATATTTGGTCGATTGTTGATCTTCCAGGCCTAAAGCCGCATTGGTAATCGCCAATAATTTCCTCTGTATATGGCAGTAATCGTTTTAGTACAACTGAAGCTAATATCTTATATGTAGTACCGATTAGTGAGATTCCCCTGTAGTTGCCACATGTATCCTTTCTGCCTTTTTTATGTATTGACACGATAATACAGCCACTCCATTCTTTTGGCATTATTTCTTGTTCCGAGGCTTCTTTTATTTACTAATAAGTAAATAAGGTAAAACTAATATCATTTTCATATTAAGCATACTAAGTAATAGCAAGACACCAAATTTCACTTAAATCGGTTGAATAGTTGTCAATATATCGTTAAAAATAATATAAAAAGATATTAATGAATCACCCTCTAAAACGAAAACTAGCAACATTTTGCCTAAGCAATTTGAGCTGAAATGCTTTATTTTGATGTCAGCTATCACCTATTAGCTAATGTCCAATTAATTATGGGACACCCTGTATTACCAAAAAAAATGGCTAGAAAAGGTATGGAGACCCCCTCTACATATAAAAAAATCTAGAAAAAATTTTGCGCTATTCGGTTTATTGGCCATGGCATGCTAACACATAACATAAATTTTCATAAAAAAGTATTAAAACAATTTGGAGCAATAATAAAAAATTCGGTTTTATTTTTTAATTTTAACACCCTGTAACATTTTGTTATGGATGCACTTTTACATAAAAGTAAGTTAGGCCAAATCGAATTATTTTAAACGATAAAAATCTTATTATATTTTATGAGCAATTTTTTGTTATACCCTGTATATTTATTGTATTACAAAGAAGTTACATTAATAGAATGAAATTTTGTATATTAAAAATACGATATAATATGCTACCCCTTTAAAAAAACATGGGAACGCTGTTCCCAAAATGTCTTATTGATCAAACATTTCATACTATAAACGTCACAAATCTTTATAAACTGGACGTAATTTCACGTAAATAAACCATCGAAACAGTGAAAGTGTTTATATTTTTAACATAAATGGAACTATATCAGTGCTTGAAAGCAACAATAAATAACTATTGACCAAAAAGTTGAATAAATGAGGAAAAAAAGACGAAAATCATACCTTAAAGTTCGATTTTTCTTGTTGACTGTTGGTGGCTAGTGTAAAAAGAATATATCTATAGTTAATAAAGCAGTTAAAATTAAGTTTTTGACATTTTTTTAAATGTCATTATGTGACTTGAGTACCTGAAATATACTTTTATAATGACCCTTGAAGACAGACCTATTTTACGAAGACAAAGGGTCCATAACAAAGTTCCCTCCAAAGATAATCTCGACGGAAATTCTAATGATGGAAGCGCAGGTAACATTGCTAAAAATGAATACATATTTTCCAGTTCTCCAAGAGCGTTGTACACCAACAGAAAAATGTACAAAGGTGGAGATATACCGTATGGTAATGTTATGTTCGAAAGACGAGTGTTCAGGGGAAGTAATTTTGGTGTGAGTAAATGTGAAGGAGATGGTGAGTCGGCTGCTGCAAGAGCTGCAGAAGCTCAAAGAAGAGCCAAGGCTCGTGCAAGAGCGAAGAATATGACAAGAAACAGTCTACGGTTGGGTTCTCCACCAGCAGTAACAGGGAGAAGACATGAACGAATACAAACTGAAAACTATTTAGAAGAAATATTTGTAAATCCCCCCGTCTCAGACGTTTGTACCCAAACGGACCTCTTTTTAGAAAGGCCTGTTTCGCCCTTCTATGTTCCCGCCAAAACAGGAGCCGATGTTGATACGCAAATTTACCCAGGTGACCTATTTGATTTCGATCTAGAGGTTCAACCCATATTGGAAGTGCTGGTGGGAAAAACAGTTGAACAATCATTAATAGAAGTGCTCGAAGAAGAAGAAATTGCAGCTCTTAAAGAACAGCAAAGAAAATTCTTGCAAATCAGAGCTGCTGAAACGGCAGAAGCACTCCGCTTGGAAGAGAGAGAAAAACGATTGGTTAAAGAAAAAGAGAGAAGAATGGCTGAGTTGGAAGAAGGTCTTAAGAGCCAAAAAGAAATGGAAGAACGTATAGCCGCAGCTGTTCTAATGCAAGGCTATATGGCAAATCTCCTTCCTTCAGTATTAGAAGGTCTCGAGTCAGAAGGTTGCCTTGTAGATACGGTTAAACAAGACTTAGAAGATTCATTTATGCCTTGGTTGTTAAAAGAAGTGACAGTAGAGTTACAAGAAATGGTTAGCAGTAGAGATATTCTTGCAGATATAGTAAGAGAGGTTTTAGAAACGCGCGCCGAAATATATACGGCATTCGATAAAGACGTTGTTGAGATCGGTGAAGAATCCACAGATCCCATTCAAGACGAGCTTTTACAGGACCATATTAAGTTACAGGATGAGATTAGAAAGAATTTAGAAGAAAAACCAGAAGATAATCAATAACAGTGCAATTGACATTTCCTAAAGTTTACAAAACTATAAAAAATTTATAAATTTATACAAGTGTTATAAATCAAATAAATATAGTTATTTTGTTTTTGTTAGAAGACTGTGGTTTTATTTTAAAATGAGCATAATACAAAATTAAATGACTGGGTAAGTAAAACAGATTATTATATTCTTCTGATAGTTTGCTATTAAATTTGTGACATAAAAAAGAAAATCATTATTATACAGGGTGATTAATTAGTGTGATAAAACTCAGTAGATCCGCTATAATAATATAAAGCAATAAAAGTTAATAACAAACATTGTAGAAAACTTTGAGTTCCACCTTACAAAATGAGTTAGAATATTACAGGGTGTTAGATAGCATAGTGGCAGTATTTCCAAATCCAAAATCCAGTATTTTATTTTATATTCGAAATTTTCTTCACTTTTTCGCCACAGCAATATAAAGTTTAGTTATGTTATACAGGGTATTTACCAAGTTTTAACCAATATTTTATGAAAATCGTAACACGTTCAACTCTCTGTATAATTAAAAAGAAGCACAATAACAATGATCTATGGCTACCATATTTTTTTACTGATTGTCAAAATTTTCAAAAATAATCATTATTGCTATTTTCTTTATATCGAATACAGGGTGAGTCAAAACGCAAGTACATTATTTTCTCAGTAATGTTAAATATAACACCGTGTATTTTATGTCACTATCGAAAAGTACCAGTACTATACTTCAATTTTTATTTAATATTTCCTATATCTAGATTTATAAGTTTTTGCGTTATTTCTATTTTTCCAAGCAAATTGTTAGGTGTCTAAATTTTTACAAATTTTAAGTAAGCCATGACTGAATTGTCTAGGCAGTTTACATAATTGCTTGTGCATAAACTTTTGATGAGAGCCGCAACGTAGGTAATGTTTCTATCATAACAGCCTAACTTCCAGTTTTCTTGAAAAAGTGAAATTCGAATTTCTGGACTCATATAGGTATCATATTCTGGAGGTCATATTTTATTTCTTCAGTAGATTGACTATAATGGATATATATATATATATATATATATATATATATATATATATATATATATATAGAAAAGAAATTTAATCTTTGCAGATAAGTTAAATAGTAAACTCTTAAATATTGGGGAAATCTGCAAAAAAAACTCTAATGTGTATCAATTATTTCACCTAACGTTTTCGCCAAAGAGAATTTGGCTTCTTCAGGGCTGAAAGAGAATAAATTATAATTAGCTACCATATATTATCTAATAAAAAAAAAACATTTACCTTACCGTGAAATTTTAGAAATGTCGAGTTATGATGTTAAAAAACTTTAGCTAGTAACAACATAGTGGTGTTTTTTTGTTACTGTGTGCAAAAAAGTTTATTTGTGAACGTTGGAAATGTATGGTAGCTTTGAACTTAAAACACAAAGGTTTGCCCAAGGACAATCGAAAAACCCAATGTAACTACATTTAAAGAAAGTAATTCTTTGAATTGTCGGCAATAACTAAATTTTTAATTGTTGTAAAGTTTGAATGTGAGCTTCTGTTTTCATAGAACGCAAGCGCCGAAACAATTACAAGTAGTTCTTTTGATATCAATGTCGTTAAGGCTAATTGGTAAAACCGATGAAGTTAGATCCCTGTCTGGGGAGATATTAGTTTAGAATTTCTAATTGAAATTCTTTTTTTTTTAATTAGTATATTGTTCATGTATTATTGTAATAATATCTTATTGAGATGTATCTAAGAAAAGCAAGGGAATGTTATCTTTTTTTTGTTAATGAAAATTATTATTAAAGTAGGTTAGTTGTTAATAGATATATCAGTCAAGTTGGTTATCTGTGATGTTGTATTGTTCTTGGTATCTGATTTAAGTAAGAAGTGGTATATATCGCTTAGATTCTTAATGTCACTCTTAACATTGATGAAAAAATCGTTAAGGAAAATATAAGACATTTCAATGAACTCTCTTTTCGATTTATTGTTCTAACGGTGGAGAATTGTAGTGTTCGTATAGTCCATGTGATGACCAGTGGAATGGACATGTTTGGCTAATGCACAGCGGACATAATGTCAGACATCACCCTGACCACTGTGCAACAGTGCAACAGTGGTAACTTCACTTTATATCTTTTTTATACAAATTTTTTATATCTTAATGTAGTTAACTTAAATAATGCTACCAAAAGTTAAGATGAAGTTAAAATAAAATTTTTTGCATAGTTGGAAGTGAATCAATGATTTTCTTAGTTCTTTTTCACTAGTTAATATTATATTAAATATTATATGCTTATTAGACCACGTGTTCTGTTGCTTTGCTAATTTTTACTAAGTCTCTAAATGTTGTTAGTTATTTAATTGTTTATACAATATCACCATATGATGTCCATTTATTTGAGTTTTTGTACTACCTTTTTAATACCATTGACAACTACATATCTTTTTTAAGGTAACTATTTAACATCTTCTTCATGAATGTGTGGTACTCATAATGTAAAAATTTTTAGATGAACTGATGATGCTATCAGAATTCGATAGCGAAACGTCTTCAAAATAGATGACGTAGTATCAACTTTGTCCATTATTACTCCACCTAGCTGACCGATAATTGAACCCACCACTCATCTGAGTGATCCTTATTTATATTGGATAGACGGTCGTACACCTTTTTGCGATATATATATATATATATATATATATATATATATATATATATATATATATATATATATATATATATACAGATTGAACGAAATAAATTCGGAACATACGAAATATTATGTATTTCGGCTCAATTCTGCTGTAGGTGGTTGACCAACAAAAGGTTGTCAAATAATTATATTATAAAAATTCAATACTTCAGCGGGCTGCTGGATTCTAAAATCATAAAAATTGAAAGCTACACATAAATCTACGATTTGATTATGTTGTCAAACCACTTATAGTCCAGGAAATGAAGCATTTCACCTCCCAATTGTTTCGTCCTGCGTGGATTGACTTGAAATTTTAACAGAAGGTAGGTAATAGCCAAGGATCAAAATCTATATCGAACCAAAGTGCGCCAAAGCCTTAGGGGTGGTTGCCACCCCATATCGGGGGTGAAATTTTTTTTTACATTTTAACTACAGGTTTCGATTAAAAAAGTGATTCTAAACAAAAAATGTTCTATACATTTTTTTTGTAAAACTGATATTTTTCAAGTTATTCGCGATTGAAAGTAACAACTTTTAGACGAAAAAATCGACGTTTTTAATCGATTTTTCACGAGTAACTCGAAAAAGGTGCATTTTATCAAAAAAATTGTAGAGAACAAATTTGTAGCTTTTAAAAAGACAAATACAATTCACTTTTTAAAATGTTTTTGCGATGTAACAGGAACCGAAATACGGCCTATCAATGTTCAGCGGTTTTCTTCAAATGCCAAATTTGACAGATTCAAAGTCAAATATCGGGAAAATGATGCATTTTTGGAAGAAAACTCACAGAAGCTTTTTTTAAAGAGCATAAATAGACCTATTATAAAAAGAAGACTCTAGCTCAAAAATTGAGTGAGTTATGATAAAAATAAGGTCAATACCTCATTTTTTTTACGAAAAAATCGATGAAAACAACCCCCTAACCACACCCATAATTAAAATCGATCTTCACCCTTCTGCAATTCTCTTTGTACATGTATTGTTAATACGTCCAAGAAGTTTGACCCATTAAAATGCTTAGTTTTAGAAAAAATACAGCATAAAGCGAGAAACGATTTACAATTTCATATTTTTTACCCTTCTGTTTTTAAATATCCCCGAAAATACTAAATATATGAAAAAAATAAAAATATACTAAATTGTAGCTTTTTTAATGACTAAAATTTTTCTTTATTTAGATTTGTTGTACAATGAATATTTGGCGATATAGCCGTTTAAAGCATTGATTTACGATCAAGCACCATCTTTTTCGAGCCCTTTAAACTCACCCCATTTTAAAGCCAATGGTTCCAAAAAGATTTAATTCACAGATCCTTGTAGCTCTTAAAAACCTCTACAAAACCGTTTTTGAAGAAACACTCTATCGTTAAAAATGAACGAAAATACGTTAAAAAAAGCAATTAATTTTTTTCCGAAAAATTCCATTAGTATAGTACAATACATTTCGGAGCATAATAATCTAAAAAACCGGTATATTAGGTAGTGGGGCGTTATACATTCGAAATTTTAAGCGTTCTTATTTTGAAATCCCATACAACAGAATAAAACATCTGCTCATATGTCTATGGCTTGGCAATGAAAATATCAGAGCAACAGATTGGGGATGGTATTCCAAAGATGGTTTGTTATTACCCGTACGCAAGAACAAACAACCTGCACCCAATAAACCTTTGTTGTTGTTGTTGTTATAAATGTAAATATTTTCAACTATTTATGTAAATGTATAAGAATATATGGTGCCTTTTTATGTTGATAAATTTTTTTGTATTTAATTCTACTTTTTTCAATTTATATCTATTAAATTAGTTTATAAAAACTGCAATGGTATAAAGGGTGATATTCAAAAGTTGAAAAGTTGCAAAATTTTGACAAAAAATTGTTTTCACCTATAGCACTCATAACAATTGATTTTTAAATGTTGAAAATGTATGAAGTTGTATTTTAAAGTATAAAAAATCACTATTTAACTAATCCAAACCAAATTTCACTCATCTTAAGATTTACAATTTTTGAAAATTAGGGGTAGTTTTCACCCCTTAAGAACAATTAGGGTTCATCGGCATGACATAAACTATAAAGCAGAGGGTGAGTTGAGCTTAATTCCAAATTTTTATCCAAATCGTTCCAAGGCAAAATCATTTTCTTCGCATTACTACTTTTTTTTACATTAATCTCTAACAGGGGTCGCTTTTTAAGGGTTGAAATATAATGGAACTTTATTCAAAAGCACGAAACTATCATTATTTAATTAATACAAACCAAATTTTACCCATATTCAGGTTTAATATGTTATTTTATAATTTTTGACAACTAGGGGTAGTTTTCACCCCTAAGAACAATCAGGGTTCGTCGACATGACATAAACTATAAAGCAGTGGGTGAATTGAGCTTAAATCC